CCCCCCCAAAAAAAAAATTTCCTAGCTACGCCCCTGCCTACCAATAGGCCCACGGCGTCGTTTTAAAGGTTCAATGTAAGCTCATGGAGCTTTATGAATGTTTTTTTCTTCTTCCTTTGGGATAGATAACTATTCACGCTCTCCAGTATGTTTGTTGCCTATGCGACGAATTGAGGGCGAACCCCACGTAGATGATATTTATTACCAATAGATTGACAACATCGTTTATCAGTTCAATCAAAGCTTACGGAATTATATAAATTTGAAGTTTTCAAATGGACTTCTATTCAATTAAATTTGCGCTGTGGGGCATATTCGTCGCCTATGCGCTTGAATTGGAAGCGAACTTCAGTGGAAGATACCTAATAAAATATTCAATCGTCGTTCATTGGCTCAATCAAAGCATGTAGTGGGATTTATGTACGTTTTTAAAAGAGGTGACTAGTTACTCGTATTCTTGAGTATGTATGTTGCCTATGTGGGAAATATGAAGGCGAACCCCGAAGGGATGATATCATCCAGTGGATTTACAACATCTTTTTGGTTTAATCACGTTTGGTGTAGCGAGTTAAACAAGAGTCGTTCGAGTAAACACCTATTCGTGCGCTCTCAGGTATGGTTCTTGCCAATGTAGAAAAATGTAAGGCAATAAAAGATATCGCTGATGTAAGTCGACTATCACATAACTCGGTTTGTGACGTCGCAGAAATAAAAGATATCGACGGTGTAAGTCGACAATCACATAAGTCGGTTTGTGACGGCACAGGCTTTCTATCATGCTTAATTTTTTAAATGGAAAACTACTCATCGGCAATTCTTTAAAACTGCCGTGATTTTTCTTCTCTGTGCGAAGAAAATTCTGCAAAACTTCAAGGAATGATGTCAACTTGTTCTCCTCTAAAAAAAATAACATAGAGGCGGAGATGTTCACTGTTCAGACACTGCAAACGAGTAATGTGACTGCCGACTTACACCGTCGATACCTATGCCAATTGGCTAGTACTATCGTATGTCAGTTCAAAACAATTGCACAGAGTAATATTATCTACCAAGAGCAATTTAACGGAATGTAGCCTTTTGATTTGGATTGATAAACTCGTGAGGATGTAGTGATAATACTCCTTGTTGACGTCACTACTACGTGGATAAGAGACTCCTAAAGAATCCTGAGAAAGATTCAGTTTATGAAGACACTGGTTCCCATTTGGATTGCATCTTGCAATTAGGAACTACAATTTCCAATACATACATAAAAATACTCACGTGCATAAGGGAACTAAATGTACATACTTTGTTTCTAAACCAAACTAGGAATTGTAGGGCCCAATAGCAAATTGTAGTCTATTTATGACCGCGCAAGTGAACTGCCACGCTTTTTATCAGGTTGACAAACTTGCATCATCTTCACAATACAGCCAGCTTAGGGACGTGTGGTCTCCGTCCTCATCGCTGATTTTTCGCAACTCTCAAGTTGGATTCTGGTGAATCAGCTTGCGTTTTGATAGCGATACAATTCATCGAGAGATAACTGATTGGTCACAAACTTAATTGTTCTTCCGTGTGGTGTGGAGCTCCCGATACTCTCTTCGGCTGTGAGTTACAACTTATACCCTTCAATATTTTAATGTCTGATTTTCATTGATAATTTTTAGCGATTAGGTCCTCTATTTTTTGTATAAAGCCATTCTAGCTAGGTTGATATCGTATTCACATGTTAACTCGTCCAGAATCTGGAAGTTTTCTGCCAGAATCTGGAAGTTATCTGAAGTATCTGTGTTATATTCACTGAGAATTTTTAGAGATTAGGTCCTCAGCGCCTTAGCACAAAGTTCCTCTGGCCTGATTGATATCGTTTCTGTTTATTGGCTCTTCCAGCATCTAGAAGTTATCAAATCCTTAATATAGAATATAATCCTGTTTGGGGATGTCTGATCTTACAATAAGTGCAACTTTATAATATCAGCACGCACTCGTTATTGCTTGACAAAAGGATCCATTATGAATTCCAGATTTTAACTTTTTAATGTTTGCTAAACTTTTTGAATATGATTGATAATTTTATTTGATCCCACTTTAAAATAAAATTCAATGTAAGAGAGTATCGCGAAGTTCCCTTGGATGCTGTGAAGGCGGCTGGCACATACATAAACCCATCAATTTTTCCTATGATTTTGGCATAATATTCTGGTTCTCAACGCAAAGAGTGAGAATTTCCAATCAAATGCTGAACGGTAAAAAACTATTTCAATTAAATGCTGAACGGTAAAAAAACTATTTTTATCCCCCGTACTGCGCCCTTTCTTGACAGAACATTATAGGTATCAACTCTAAACTGAACTTAATTTTGCAATAAGTACCAGTTATTTCTGGCTCACCTATGAAAGCACCCATTTGCAATGGGATGTTAATTCCACATATGGATTGAATTTTGCAAAAAGGAACCTATAGCATTCCAATGTTGCTAGAATTAAGCAACTTCCATGATTGCAATAAAATTACTTAAATTCTCTGACTTTCTTCTTGAATTTTAAGTTTATTGGGGGTAAAGGTAAAACTTGTTCAGATGATCAGTTAATATTTGCAAGGTAAATGCACAATCTTAGCGACATTCGAATGCTCTTGGTTCCTTTTCGCAAAAATGCAATCTATATGCTCTTTCAAAAAATGAAACTGAAATAGCAGTTTCCTGTTGCAAAATGCGGTCAAACTGCCCCACTGACCGTACGATGAAATAACTCGAGCGGAATTCTGATCACCAATCAGCTCGAATTAATCACATGGGAGAACAAAGCGCGGAGCAGCCGCCGAGAGTCACACTACTGCCAAAATGACGAATTCGGACGGGGACCCCTTTATCAAGAGTGATAAAGTCAGCGGCGAGCAATATTCGGAATTATAGCCGACCGCGGATTCCGAACTTCACCGAACAGTGGAAAATCGCGGTCGGAAAACCGCCCCATCCGGCAATCTGCTCGCTAGCGGCTGCGGTTCCCATTAGACCCATTAAGGACCAGTATACAGTAAGTTTTGTGTCCGAACGTGATCTACTGATTCAGGGGTGCTGGTTTTGTCGCCATTCGCCCTTCTCATCGCCACGGCTCCATGAAGGGGCGGGTCTAACCCCCAAACTGGCGTTAAAAAGGATACCATGCTAATAAACAGTTATCCAGTGTGCTCTCAGTGTTGTTTTTCAGGATGAATGTGCAAGACGATGTGATAATTTAACACACGACGATTAAGGTAGGTTAAGTTTGTCTGCGGTGGTTGTAGAGATTATCTCGGCTTTTGCATTTTCATAGACTCAGTCTTTAATTTCAGGCGTAAGTACAATCAGTGGCGTAGTCAGAAATTTTTCATGGGCGCAGGGGTGTACGGTCAAAAATGTCTCATGAGGCAATTAAAGGTTGCAATCCCTAAAAATAGCTGAAAGTTTTGTCGTGAACTTTTTCAAAAAATTCTTGCAAAGCTGATCATTCCTTTGATTTGCTGTTAAAATACATATTATAAAAGGCATGCTCGTTGCTCGTGCGCATGTCGCTGAGAAAATCCGAATGACATTGAAAAATGAGAGAGCTATTAATGCCCTCTTCATAATGCTCATAAAATTGCTTTAGTTTGCTGTTACAATTATTGATGGAGGTGTTGACGCTGTCACATTGCATTGCATTCCGTTCAAATTCCGTTGCTTTAACGTTCAGCCAGGCACGTTATTCCATTTTAAGGTTTTAAAATTGTCTCAAACAACTCAATTCTTTACAAGAACATGACATTGCAATTGGGCCCGTGTTGCAGATTTTTGCTTGTAATCGCGATTACAAGCAAAAATCCGCGGAAAAAAATTATCCGCGAAATTTTTAGTAAGAAATTTCCAAACTTATCTTAGCAAATATACAACTTAAAAAAAACTGCGCGACTTATCGTCTATCGACTTGAGCAGAGATTTTGTGGAGAAGAAAGGGAGTTACATTCTTTCGTCTCGGAGACACAGAATTGGACATCCGTCAACGGAAGTCTCCTACGTTGATTCTTTCCATGTAAAATCTGCCTTCAGGGGGATCATAGAACCATCACATAATGAATTCAATAGATCCTAAAATGATTTTCCCTCAGTTGCGATGTTTTATAATTTTTTGGGCAACAAATATTTTAGTCCTGGTAACAATGCTTCCGTGTTGACGACAATAATGTAGGTATTCATATTATCGGGATCGAAATAATTGTTACCATAAAAGTAACTATGTGACTACGACTATAGGAAAGTACTTTGGATATGGAATTCATGATGTAGGGGCAACTATTTCTTTATTTTCCGTGTATTTTAGGGGTAAATTTGATTTAAATTTCATTATGTGAAGAATAGGTTTTGAGGGAATCTTTGCTCAAGATCGAGCAAACGGTTCAGGGAGTAAACCGTTAAATTGTTGGGGCCTTGGCGCTTGGCTTGGCTGCTATCTCTAAAAAGAAAAAGGACATAATACCTACGTGTTTCTACCTGCCAACATTTTGCGCGAAAATGGTGCATTATACTACGGTTCCAGAGGCTAATTATTGTGTTTAGGCCCTGAAACACTTATTGTATTCTTCCAGATAAAAATGCGCAAGGAGCTACGATGTATCGATTTTTTTGTATCGATCCTTTTGATTGCTGCAAGTTGTGCCCATGGTCATCAGTCAAAGAACCACTCAGGTAATTATTGAAATCGTATATACTCTTGTGACGTTTTCCAAGTGGAAATAAAAGTAGGACAATGTTTCCGGAAAAACGTTACATCGAGAGACGCTAAAACGAGGAACGACTGCCCGGGACTCAAAAAAATGAACGTTGGTTCCGAAAAAAACGTTATTTTGAGAGATTTCACAACATGACTGCATTCGCGACTATATGATTGAACTAATTGTAAAATCACGATTATCATGAGAAAAAAAAAGTATAAGGAAAAGGGTTAAGTATGTTTCAGTGTTATGAGTAACTCATTCTTTATCTCAAAAGTGTAATGTTGGGAGGAAGATTTATGGTCAACCGAAGATTTCTATCGATTATCAGTTTTAAATGAAGACCTGTGACATTGACATTTTCAAAATATTCGTTAACTGATCGTCTTATTGAATTGGTGTTTAATAAAAACTCACATATTATTGTTCATAAAAAATGCATATTCTCCCTTGTCGTGCAAATCCTTGGCGCACCTGCCCTCCTTTAAGTAATTAACCACACTGAAAAGAAAATTCTGGCTGTGGAAGCCTTTACGGGCTACATAGACGTACCGTCCTTCTTCCAGGTTCAGAGGCCGAAAACTCCGGGCGTAGCACCCGAAGCAATCCAAGGTACTGCTCTAGCACCCGGAACTTCCAGCCTCTAAGTCCGGAACGGACGGTATGTCTATGTAGCCCGTAACTATTGCTTTCAGTGCAGATGAAACGATGGGTATTTTAAGATGGGAGAACCAGTGACAACTTCAGATTCGATTTTTTATTCCATTTTTCTTCCTTTTCAAATTATTTTAATAACTTATGATGTACAGAGATTGATAATCCTGTGGTGGAGTTTTTAAACGCCAAGAATGAACAGCCACTTCGCCGGATCAATGTCAATGAGCACTTCGACCCTTTAAGCAACAATCAGCTCAAAGCAGAACTCTTCTCAACGGACAGTTGCGAGGTAAAGGATGGCCATTACAGCTGCTGCACCATTCTCAAGCTGGCAGCTATGGATGTTCGTGAGCCGGGTGAGTGTTGATGGAATAAAAAGGGCACAAAAAGCCAACGAATAAGGATGATAAGTACATTCCTGATTTTGAACAAGACCCACTTTAGAGGTGAACTCTAGAAATATTGATATTTAATTCCCAAATTTCAACCACACAACCTGAATTTAAAGTTTTAGTGATCCAAAAGACGTCTTGTAATTTTTAAACTTTAAATGTGTTTACAAAATCGCAAAAATGTTGAGTTCTCCCCCTTAATTGCAATTTTATGGATTCTTGTTTACTTGTCCCTTTATAAAGTAAAATTAATATTGTGTGGTCTTTAATTTTTAGTTTGCATCGACTTTTCACCAAAAAATCGATCTACCGAGATTTCTACCTTAAAAGAGAACGTGGAGCTGTTTGAAACCACTTTAAGTGTTGGGATGACACGAGCTTCGATGACACAACGGTTTGATTTAAAACCAGGTAGGCTTTGGTCGTCATCACTCACGATAGAGTCTGAGCTCAAAAAATGTGAAAAGTGTCCTTTTCACTCTATCATTATCATCTTGCAGCTCCTCCCATTTAATTCGAGGATAAATGGACTCAATTATTGCCATAAAGGATATGATTCTCTTAAGAATCAAGTGTTATACCCTGTTACTTCATACTTTTTAAGTTTAGGCTCATGAGGAAATAGCAAATGTCTCCTTATGAATGAACCAAGAAAATATTTATTCTTTGAAAACAATGGGTCATAAAAAAAAGATTGCTAATGACGAATTGAAGGGCCTGGAGGACAAAGCACGTGAGTGCAGTTTTTTCTATTTTAAGAAATACGTGTTTAAAGTTTCAAATATGAAGCCCTATGGCGGATAGGAGGTTTAAATCACGTTTTAATGCTCTAAAGTTGGATTTTAGTTGTGAATTTTTCACAGAATATACTTTTAAACTAATTTTAGTTGAACTCACAAACCTCTCCATTTTTCAAAAACTGCACTTATGCAGCACGTTCTCCAACCCCCTCAATTAGCAAGTAATCCGTGCTTCGCACGGACTGTGATTGGAGGTGCTAATATTAGTGCGTTATAATCCAATGGCGATATAGTTATACAGCCACTTGGGGGTTGAAAATTTTGTGTCGTGCATATGAGTCTATCTATTTCACGTATTTAGTCTCAGAAAATTGATTTTAGAGCGAGAAATACGATTCGCCAAAGAAGTCTAAGACTTAAACTTGTTTGCACGTCTATGGAGACTGAAACACAAGGCTAGAAAAGTTAGACAAACCTTTTGTTACAAAGGGCCGTTCATAAGATATATAACGCTAAATTTTGAATATCTTTACCAAAAGCACGCTTGTTGTATACGCTTGTTGTTGTTACACACATGTGCATCCACATGTTACACAAATTATTAGCACTGCTTTGGAGACTGGAGCGCAAGACTAGATAAGTTAGACAAGTCATTTTTGTTGTATGGGGGCGTTCATAAGAAGTTCTAATAAATTTTTGATTTTTTGATCAGAAGTAGACATTTTGTATGCATGAACATGTACTGCACATTGTTAGAACTTTTCTGAAGACTTAACCCAGATAAGACAGGAATATTTAGCCAATATTTAAACAATATTGTTTTGGTATTTATGCAAACATTGGGCCAATATTGGTTAAATATTGAGCCAATGTTAAAATCGTACACCATCTTTCCTTTTGGCATAAATACTGTGTCAATACTTTGGCTGAGAATACTGTGCCAGTACTTCAAAGGGAAAGTATTTGGATATCAATATTGAGACAATACTANTGAAGACTTAATAAGCGTAAGGTTAGAAAAGTTAGCCGAATAATTTTACCTAACCTAACCATTACGACAGACCGTACAAAGATATATGTACGGTGAAAATTACAGCCCTCCTCATTTATAAATTAAGATATGTGAACTTCAAATCACGAAAACTGTCAGTGAATGAGGCGGTTTTGTCAAAATCAGTTTTGCCTCCCTTGTCACAAATATGACAAAATATGTTAATAAGAGTGGACTGCCTTGCCTTCTTGCACTTTTACTTGTTAGGAAGCTCTTTGTTTCATTGGTTTTAATACGTATTTTATTTTGTTCACAGGAGATTACTTGCAAAATATCTCGTTTCCACTTTGCATACCATGGTTCCCTGTCATAACGGTTTGCGTGAATGTTCACAACATAACTTACGATTTCACAAATATGTCAATTAGAAGTTGTTTTATGCTAACTGTTGGAATCGTAAATTTCCCGATAAATTTGTTTGCTCTAGATTTAGATTGTATAAAGTATGCAAACCGAACAATCGTCAAAGAGCCGCTGAACCATCAAACACTCCAGTCAAATCAAACTGTTAAACCACATGAGTTGGATTATCCAAACAAAGAACATTCAACATTTAATTCACAGATAAGTGATTTACGGCCAAATGTCGTACAAAACAGTCATCGCAAAGGGGTTTACTTTGAGGATCGTCCTAAAAGAAGTATGTCCTCGGTGCAATCTTCTCCAGACCGAACGACGGATCCAAGTATGAATTCACATCTATCTTCTCTTCCGCCAAAACAATTTAAGCAAAATAATATTACAACATCAGGTATTTTTACCGAATCTTCTGATATTTCCAATTTTATTTTCAGTTCAAATCGAAGTAAAAATTCAGCCTCATCTTTTCATGTACCCAAGAATTATTTTTCTAGTGATATAAGTGATACAGGCATTGATTTAGGAGAGATCACTGAACGTAATTCAAGTTTTAATAACCATTATTTGTCTATTACTTTTCCACTAAACTTCAATAGACATCAAGAGGCGATTCCCAATTCACCCATTCGTCCATCCATGACATCAATCACTGTACCATCGAATGCCTCTAGGCAAAGAACTGCAGAATCACTGTTACTGAGAACAATTACTACTTCCTCTAACGTTGACCCCACCATAAAATTCATGTCCTCCATAAAGAACAAAAGACGTGATGTTCGTAGGCTAAACCATAGAAATGACTTTTCTACTGCTACTTACTCACCTTACTCTAAAAGAACAAGCTCCTCAACAATCAAAGTCGACCATTTCATTACATTTGCCGATGAGTACAATTTGACTATTAGTAAAAAATCTCCTCATGCCACAAAAAATACTCTAACTCCGCCAAAAACCTCGCGGTTTTTAGAAAAACATACTACTGTAAATTATTTGGACAGCACTCTAAAGGATATTGGGAGTCGTGATCCAAAATATCATTTTCCTGTGGTCACTAATCAATCATCCACCTTCAACTCGTCAAAAGCCTCCTTCCCGACAAAGACTAGAGACAGGAATCCTCTTGGCAATCGGAAATTAAAAGCAAATAACAGCCGTAAAAATACAACCAACAATCAGCATGTCAGAGGGTCGAAGTCCCACCGAGTTCTATCAAGTACGAGTTCAAAATATCCGTCACAAACAATGACCAATCCAGACATCTCAACCCTCCAATGGAGTAGTGGTAACGGAAATTTCTCTGGAAACGAGCAACAAGTATCCTTTAACACTTCTAGCCTTGATACTTTTGGATCAACTGCACCAAACAATGGAAGTGCACAAATATTGATCTCAAATAAGAGAGCACATAGACCTTCAGCACGTCGTTTATCAGGAAGCGAGCATATTTTCCGTTGGAAAATCAAAACGAGAGGTCCTTTCAGTGTAAGCCGATTAACTCCAAAAATAAGTTCAGAAACGACTCCCACCAAACTCATATCGAAAGATACACAGGCTCGGAATTCTAAAACTCCCAGCCCTGTAAATGATAGCAGAATTCCCAGCATTGTTCACGATGCATATGATACTCATAGAAACGGAGCTAAAAATACTGAGTTCCCTAGATTCTCCTCCAAAAGGGCTAGTATTGGACGATCAGTTGCTCCTCCGCTCGGTGTTGAACAATTTTTCTCCTGGAAAACTAAAAAGCGTCGTCCTTCTAGTGGTTCAAGGTTTAATCGTCAGAATTCAACATCCATAACTCCATATTTTTCAAAAGAAAACAAAGGGTCCTCGTGCACATGCGCACATCCTGCACATGAAATAGTCACAAGTCCTTCGGTCCCACATGCATCTTCTTTTTCCAACAAGCTTCAGTCTGCTCATCAAAAAAATGCGCGACCACACTCTAGAACATCAATGTCGCCCTCAAACATAGGTATTACCAGGGACAGACTAAATCTCCCACGAATCGTCCAAAAATCGCATCCTGAAATCGGTGCAAAGAACACAATTTTCAGTAATACAACTGAAAATACGTCATCCCTTCAAATATTTAGTACAAAGCCTCAACGACGACCATTGAAACCTTCTTTCAGAGCCGGACAATTTTTTCCATGGAATTTTGAGAAACCAAGTCTTCAAAAAGCTCGTCAAAACTCTACACCTCGGGTTGATTTGCATAGTACTACCTCTAGGGTTGCAGGAAATTCAGAAAAACAGGTAGTGACACCTTTCTTAGGAGTTGAGCAGTTGCTTTCTTGGAAGGTAAAAAAGTATAGCTCATTAACTTATCCAAAATTATTTCCGGTCAGTAACCTTACTAGTACCGTTTCCCCCCATCAGTCCATTGGTGCATCATTTCCTGAGTGGTCGGTAGCATTCCCGTCTAGAGGTTTTTCTTCAATGACAAATAAAAAAATTAGCCGACTAGACTTCCAAAAAAATATTTTTAATATTAATCAAAGAGTTAGTACTAATCAGCCATTCATATCTAACACAAGATACGGTGAAAATATTTTTAAAGAGTTGCTGAAGCCACTTTTGTTTCCTACAGCTCCAGCTAAAGGCCATAATCATCATCAACCGGAAATAACATCACGGATTCCTTATTTCGGGAGATCTGACTCGAACTTGGCTCTTACTCTCAACCCTATGTTCGTAAGAAAAATTGATAGCCTTAAAGCAAAAGTTTTTAGTCCAAGTACGATACGTTTTTTTGATCCACCGAGAGTTTTTGTAACACGAGTCAGTAGTATACAGCCAACAGCACCACCTTTCGCTTCAAAATCTAATTTCAAATCAAAAATAAAATCATACTTCACTTTAATACTTAACACCACCAGAGGGCCACTTACAACACAATTTGTACCCCCTCAAAGGAATTTTTCTTCTCAGGGTTCAACCAAATCAGCAATAACACAATCTATTGGATTTAAAGATGTCATCTCGTGGATGAATAAAACGCACTTGTTACCTAATTACAACACAAGTATAGAATCATGGTGGCCTGATTTAAAAAAAGAAATTGAGTCCTGGAGAATTTTACAAAAGGTCTCCCCCACGCAAAGTACTCTGCGGGATGGATTGACTTATGAGCATATAAAAAACCGGAATTCAATCATTGGAAAAACTTACACTCCAATTAGCCAAGCTGTGAACATTACAAAAACACCTCTCCCTGAATACGATATCATCAAACCTACGGAAAATCTAGTAGAAAGAAAAAGAGCAGAAACCAAGAACAATGCTATAACAGTGAAATTATCCACCAGAAAAGGTACTCTATGGGACGACTCAATTTATGAGCCTTCCAAAGACCGGAAATCAACGAATGATCAATATCCTACTCTGATAACGGAGGCTGTAAATGTTACGAAACCATCTCCTAGTGAAATCAATGTTGACAAAACTACAGAAACGCCTTTGCAAACAAAACGGGCAGAACCACAGAACGCTCCAATAACAAAGAGTTTATCAAGATCGTTTGTTAAAGAAACATCTAATAAATCTACCATCATTTTTGATGTAGTAACTACTTCTGTCAATAGATCTGTGATACTACCAACGAGAATTTCAACTGTTGAATCAACTAACGTTCCAGCCACAGAGCTTCTGACAAGAGGACTATGGAGTGAGCGCAGACAACAATCGGACAGTACATCAAAAATTATTACTAGTCTCTCTGAACTAGGAACTACTTATATCACGAGTGCCTCTAAAGAGAGACAAGCGCACTTTAAATCAGATCCTGACCCAAAATTCATCGTCACAGATCCTCCGTCTCGACATACAACATTGGCAATCATTGAACATGGAACAACCCAAGCAGAGAATCGTGCTTCGGAGAAACTTGTGGCAGATACTCCTAAACCTTTGCCTACGAATCAATATACTATTGAAACATCAACGGAAACAACCCTTGCCAAGAGAAAACTCCTTCCACTTAGAGGCACGACGAGCGTCTCAAAATCTCTACACGTAGGCACCTCTTCTTTTCAGACGACTTTAAACACAGCTAATGAAGGCACAGATACTGCTGAAGCAATGCCTACTATAGTAAGCAGACCCTCCGTAACAACATTTAAGATTAATGAAAATGGAATTGCGTCTCCTCGTATACCTCCAACTATTCAAATCTCTCCGGAAGGAACTCAGACACCAAGCTCCTTTCCTCGTATACCTCCAACCATTCAAATCTCTCCGGAAGGAACTCAGACACCAAGCTCTTTTAATGTGATGCCTAAATTGGAACCTGGTCTTAAAAGCGCGACCACTATTAAATTGTTAGATATTGGGAATACTCATTTGGATGTTATTGCAGCAGAAGAGGCAAACTTTCACCTGAAAGAAAGACCAAGTACGATAACTACGAATCCTCTTCTTCCAAAAAGAATAACGACATCCTTTGGGTCTCGGAAGCTCCCTGTGGAAGTACCCACCTCACCACCTCAATCATTTTCAGACGTGGAGCAAGACTCTGGTCAAACAACAACACACACACCTATCCGCGAGCTGAAATTCTACCCTAAACAGGTAATCAGCAGTACTCTCCTACCAACGTCATACAGCGTTTCAAAATTCAAAAACATCCCACAGTCCACTGACGAGTTGGACGTGACGTCCCCCACAATTATACCCTCAAAGGGCACTGGAACTATTAAATCAACAAAGCTACCATCCATCGAGAATCTTGTTGAAAAGCCTTCGACGCGAAGTTCTTTAGGAGGGTGGAAGGAGCCTCCGGGATCTACGCCTAAACGCACCACCAGTTTTCCCAAAAATGAAGCCACCGACTTCCCAGCTTCCTTGGATGGGAAGCGGGTTACTCTTAAACCTGAATCTGACCGAACAATCATTGTCACGAATCTACCTCTTAAAGATGGAACTGTGACATTCCTTGTATCCAAAAAATTCCACGCAGAAAAACCTGCTTCAGTGCCCGCGGATACACCTGAGACCACAATAACAGATCTGTTTACCAAGAAAAGTTTTACACTAACTCCTCTCGATGAGCGCAGGAATTTCCCGGAAGGAAGTAGGACGAGTACCTCTCAAACGCAGCACAGGAGTAGCACATCATTTGGGATGATTATGAATAGAGTCAGTGGATCTTCAGATAACGTCCACATTTTACCCACAACTATAGACAGCTCCCGAGGGAGATCCGTTCAGCAAAATATGATCAGAATTATTCCTTCTTCAATCTCAACAGCTACAGAAATATCTCAGGAAGACATCTCAACCCCAGGTTCCGCAGGTGTGGAACGTAGACTGGAATCTGTGAATGATAACTTCACACATGCTTATCATCCTAGAATCTTCGAAGATTCGACGGATAGGGGACACACGAACTTCCAGCGGGTAGATGACACTAGTATGGAAACTACGAATGCTCATTTCCACAAAAATACCACAACATTATCACCGGACGCACGGAAACTCCCTGCAGATATTCCGTCTTATTTGCATACAACATTCTCAGATGAGAGGTTAGGGTTTGAGCCAACGATAAGGAAACAATTTCTCAACAACAAAATAGTCAATCACACATCCACTACCAATGGACTTTTAATAACTTACGATTTCGAGGAACCAACTCCAGGAGTCACCTCGCAGGTCATGGAAAAGTTTCATTTTACAAGCTCCTCTACGATTAAACCACAGGCACATCCAAAAATCATAGTAACCGTTCAAGCATCCGATAATTCGACCAAAATGCACCTTGGTAAAGAATCGCCTACACGCAGTCTCTCGATCACGCCCAGATTATACCCAGAGCATGACTCGAAGAGTAGCGTTAGTCCGGATGTAGATAAAAGCACCAATGTCTCTCCATCTGGTAGTAACTTCGACCTCAAGAAATATCACTATCCAGAAACAAACCAGACTTCCACGCCGTTGAACGAAGCTACAGACTTCACACAAAATTCTACCATCTCACCCAATGTAGACGCATTTAATAACAAATTTTCTCAAAAAACGCAAGCAAAAACAATTTTCGATGATTCAACAGGAAGAATATCCGAACCTACTGTAAAAGAGGAACCAGATGAAGCCATCACCAGCTTTGAGGTACCAAGCACTCCCACAAGTAGACCTCATATATCTTTTAAAAACATTCAAATCTTTGGTTCTACAGAACTTCCAGCGACAAAAGAGTCTGACGAAAAATCTCCAAGAAAGCCCTATTTGAAAGAGCCAAAGCTGCTGCCGCAGCGTGACGCGAATAACACTGTTAACCTCCTTGAACAGGAATCCACGCACTCCACACCTCTCTCGGAGACAGGACAAACGTTCCTCAAACCAAGACAACCCGAGACAAGCATCATTGGAACAAATCCTCTTCCTACCTACATAACTGCAGCATTTGCGGAGCGCAGAAAAATTGAGACCGAAAAACCTGCCGAGCTTCCCGTTGCCACTTCTATGCCACCCCCTTTGGAGTATATTACTTTTGAAACTCCTACACGGAGTCCTCTCCTCAGTCACCAATTCTCACCTCATGGGAGCTCGACGAGCATCGCAAAAACTCAAAACAGGAAGAACATAACGTCTACGAAGATTTCCAGCCAAGCTGACGGTGTTACAGAAGATGCTGCTTTAACACTCATAACTTCAGGCAGTTACTCTCTGACATCATCTCACTTTAATAAGTCTAAAATTACTCCTCCCTCTTTCTCTCCAAATGTGGACATTTTTTCTGAGAAATCTTCGACTGGAAACATCTCGCATGCAGAGCGTCAATTCCTGCCCACTCGCGTGAGTATGACAACCACAAGTCTTCCGAAAGAAAGGATTACAGATTCTCTAACTGCTACTACGACGGGAATAGAGGAATTTCAGCAAAAGGAAGAGCCCAACGTGTCTAGAACAGTGCGTCCCACAGGTAACGAGAGCAAGTCGTCAGTAGATTCTCGGGGGTTTTCTGCGGCTCTCCCATCTTTAGCGCCTACGACATTCTCCAAACCTGTAGAAAGTCTCACCCAAACTACTCCGTCAATATTTCTACAAGAGCGATTAGTCCATGAGGAACAAAAAACCAGCAGTGCTCTTGAACCTGAAACAACGGACAGTCCAAGATTTACATTCTCCTCTCTGGTTGCACGCAAAATAACTACCCCAACTCCTTCGGTTAGCTCGATTTCGATGCCTCCACAGAATATTCTGGTATTTGCAACGGCAAAACTTCCGACCATCGACAGCTTTGGTAACCACCATAATCGTAGTATCCAAAATGAGCATAATTTGCCCCTGGACCTCACCTCAAGCGCCGCTGTAAATGTTCCCAGACTAAAACCCACCATCACTCCGACTATCCTTCCTTTCAGTCGAATTCAAGGAGAGGGACTCCTTCTGCAAACCAGTCCGACAGCAAATAACAACTTTTATGCAATACACCCAGCAGAAGTCAAAACGACTTTTGAGCCAGAGGAAGAGTCTACATTGATTGTCACCAACCTTCCACTAAAGCATGCGGCCGTAGCATCGACCAAGAATCGGAGAGTGCCTTTCATGCAGTCTCCGTCACTTTCGACCTTTATGCCACAAACCCCATCAACAGACACTTTTGATCAGAAAACCCCCTATCAAAGCTATCTCGAGTCATCAGGCAAGCCGAAATTCGTACCTTTCACCACGTCTATCCAGAATACGAAGAGGTTACCTTTCAACTCACATAAAAGTCGTGCTGAAGACGATTTTCTACCAACCATCCCTGCCAATGCTCACACAAACATCCAACCAGAGCCCAAGTTAAGTTATAATGTGACTCATCCTCCAACAAAATATAGTTTCAAAATACCCATTGAAGGCAAGACGGCCCCCCTTGAAAATTCTTCATTCCTCTCATCCACTCGTGAGGCCTCGGCAACAGACATTTTAAATCAGGTAACTGTACAACAAGGATACCTCAAACCGCAAGCTCAGCTTCAATTCGTACCCTCTATTCCCTATATTCCGTTTGCAAAGACGGTATCATTCACCTCTCGTAACACGACGGTAGAGGGTGACTTCTTTCCGACCACTCCTGCGGAGACTCAGACAAATCTCAACCAGGAGCCCAGGCCCAGGTCCATTGGCACTGATCCATCTCTAGAATATACTACCAAAATGCCTGTCAAAAGCGGAAAAATTCCTACTAACAAACATTCCTTCCTTCCCTTACACACTCGTCAATCCTTACTACCAGACATGTTTCCGCAGGTAACTACATTGCAAAGCTACTTCGTGCCTTATGCCGAGCCTAAATTCTTAACCTTCACTCGTCCTTTCATAAATGCGGAGAGGGCATCGCTCACTTCAATTAACACCCCTATAGAGGACGATTTTCCCCCAACCATAACTACAGAAACCCTAACAAGCATCAGCCCGGAGCATCGGGCGAGACGTATTTCCACCATTCCGCCTTTTAAAGAGACTGCCACAAAACTCGCTATAAGTAAGGAAACCCTTCATAGAAAATCTTCCTCGCACCTCAAATACACTCACGAGATATCATCAACGGAAAAATTGGATCAGGAAACTCTACAGCAAGACAATTTTCAGCCTCGAGCCAAATCTAAAAAAGCGGGTTCAATAGCTCCCATTCAAAATGCAATGAGGTCATCATCCATTTCCCACGAAACTGCTGGAGAGGACAATCTCCTACCAACTTTTCCTGCTGAAACCGATTCAAACCGCCATTCAGAGCCCGAATCAAAAGAAATTTCCACTATTTTTCTTCCGAGCTATACTGTTAAAATGTCCGTCGATCAAAGAAAAATTCAGGTAATGAAATCTGCCTTACTTCCATCATCTACTCGCAAAGCCTTCGCAACAAACGCCTTTGGCCAAGGTACTCCAGAACAAAGGTATTTCGAAACTGGTGCGAGGCCTAAATTCTCAGAACCGATCCATACCATCGATTATACAGAGCGGGCATTTTTTACGCGTCCAAATACTCCTGCAGAGAACAGCATCTTACCGATCATTCCTGAGGAAGCCCAGACATATCCTGATCCACAGCTGAAATCACGATACATCGGCACTGGTCCTTCGCTAAAATATCCTACCAAGACTACCGTCGGTAACAGAAATATCCCTGTTATGAGACATTCCTCACCCCCTTCATATACTCGTCAGGCCTCACTGACGGCCATCGTTTCTCAGGATAGCACACAGCAAATACCACCTTTGTCATCTAAAACTGTTTCGAAGAAAAGCTTTCAGAGAGCCACGACACTCTCTCCCTTTAGCGAAAAAGCTCTGTTTTCAGAACAGACTGCCAACAGCTCTTCCTGGTCACACCAATCAGACGATTCAAAATTTAGAACCACCTCCCCTGTAACTGGTGAGTATCAGACAATAATACCAATCACTAGCAGGCCCAACATGCTGCAAAGGAATTTCTCCGTAATCGAATCGGCAGACTCTCAAGTCACAAAGCGCTCCGAAGAGCAGTATCCGTTCAGAAACTCTAGTGTTGAGCTTAAATCAAACCTTCAGCGAATCTCGAAGAACGATGATACTTTCCCCGAAAAAGAAATTAATAGTACAATGCTTCAAATTGTGAATGAAAGTCCTTCAATTGCAGATAATAACGGGAAAGACGTGACAAGAGACGAGCGAATGGAAATTAAAAAAGTTAGCCTAAAAGAAATTGGAAATCGGGAAAGTCGCATTAGGTACGAGAGTAGTTCGATCAGTTTTTCAAACGACTCAATAACCATTCCCACTGAGATGCCAACCGATGACACGTATACCGATGAACCATCATTTGAATTTACTGAATTTTTAAGCAGTGGCTTACAGTCAATCGGACAAGCAATAATTTCTCCTCTTGAAGCACTGAGACGCACCATCGTAAGTCTGCTTACGCGTGAAGAGGGAGATCCTAGTGACTTTTTATCAACAACCTCTAACCCAAAAGAAGAGAATACGGAAGTCCTCTCCACCTTCTCCCTCCCCTCTTTAAAGGTAGAGAATTCCATCTCATTGCCTATGCATGCACCTAAATCAGTTAAGACCACACAATTGACCACATTTCCGGCAAATTCTAAAGACATGACTCGTATACGTACGCTTCGTCCTTTAAATCAGGAAGAAATGCAATCCTTTGAGCAAACATATTGGCGCAGCTTCACAAATTCGCATACCCAACGTCTCTTGAGTCATTTTCCATTATCAACTTCAATAAGTGAGCGTAGGCAAAGTGATTTTGCCTCTAGACAACCTTTTGTCCCAAACATGTCACAGAGGCATCACCAAACGAACAAAACTTGGCACAAAAATACTTCCTTCCCCAAAAACACAGAGAGCACTGTGAGAGTGACTAAAGGAGTGACTAAGGAAGTTTTTGGAACCCACTTTTCATTTAATGGAGTGTCCGTATCCCATTATAATTCAACTCCAATACCTACTTCCTATTCAGAGACGATCCCTCCTCTAACAATCAACCCTTATTACTCAAAACCAATCCGATCACCTTTAGGTAGAAGAACTGCAACGAAGGTACAAAAGAAAACAAATTTCGGGGGACTAACTCCTAAGTCTGACCACCATCGACTCCTCCGATCACCAGTTGACCAAAATAGTAAAATTGGTGATGATACGAATGTTCCTGACGTAATTGCTAAGAAACTGGAGCACCAAAACGATGACGTGCAGCTCTTGCCTTTGAAGGGGGAAGACTTTCCATCCGATGATTTGGATCATAGATATCGTCTTCATATACCTGTAAAACCAAAAGCATTTTCTAAGTTTTTTCCAATTTTACACAGATGACCGCTCATTGGAATATGTTTCAGACTTGAAAAAGATCAAGCGCTCCCCTCAATCACAGGATCCTCGCCCGGTGGGGCAACCCGCCATCCCTCTGAGACAACTAGAAACGCGCAAAGAGAAGCGGGACGTGCCCAAACTTCCTCCTAGAAGAGAATATCTACCAGATGACCACAGACTTCGTAATCGGCAGCAGCAATCTAGACAGTTCCTCGCCGTATTGAATCTTGAAAGGACTTGGCCCCATCAATTCTTCATCAGATGAAAATTAACTTGACCTGAAACTGACTTCAGGTATACATGGTAATTTCTTTCTCATCAAATTTCTCATATACCTATTTTAAGCCGAGCTGTTTACCTGATGGGTCATGATATTGAACATCATCGAAAGACTCAATCTCCCCTTTTCTGATGTATGTTCCACCTTATGTAATTCAATATTTCAGTAATGTTTCGAAATTGGCCGTATGATGAGACGGACGATATTTACCGGAGTGAGGAATGCGAATTTAGCTTTGAATCTATTAGGAACGTACCATAGAAATTGACGTAGGTGTCAAAAAGTTATCAATATGGTCACAAATTACTTAAAGATTATTATGTGTTATACGGCACTATCACGAAACTTTTCTCCGTTCGTGGACGTTTCCATTTATCGAAAATAGAATTTAATTAAACTTGCCCATTTGAATTACAAAAGAAGCTTTATTAGGTATTACAGGATTGATAATGTCATATTAACTTGTAGTTCAGTAAAATGTATTTAGTGAGCGTAAATTTTCCACTCATGTTCCCCCTTTACCCCCCACTCTCTCCCTCCCCCTTCTCTCTCTCTCTTTCCCTTTTTCGTATTCTCAAATGTTCTTTATGGGTAAAAAGATATCAACGATATCGATATCGTTTTACAATGATTGGTAGCGATATTTGAGTTTTATCATGATCGGTAGACGCATACATCATTGCAGTTTTCAAAATAAAAACAAAACATAATAGGAGTACAAGAAAGTGACTTCAAAAAATATATACAGGTTCCAGTGCAAATGGATCATCTAAGTAATATACTAAGTATGTACTTTTCAAAGTATCATCGAATGAATGTTACGTTGCAATTTTAACACTCTTAAATAGTAAGTTCTATTGAAAAAGTTGCATGAGTTGAAGAATGTATTTTCTTCATGCTCTAAATCCATGTGAAAAATACGTCTGCGTTTGGCCTACACGGAGAAAAAAACTTCGTGCGTGGGACCCAAAATTTAGGTCATATGGATCTCTGAAGTTTTTGGATTGAGCATCCGAACACTTAAGGTCCAGCTGGTGAGGTTCGGATCACACATCTGAAACTTCAGTTCTTACATCTGAAGGACTTCGGTTCTCACATCCGAAAAACCTCGGTTCTCACATCTGAAGTACTTCAGATGTAAGAACTGAAGTTTCGGATGTGTGATCCGAACCTCGACAGCTAGATCTAAAGTGTTCAGATGCTCAATCTGAAAACTTCAGAGATCCGTACGACCTAAATTTCGGGTCCCACGCACGAGGTTTTTTTCTCCGTGTATGACTGGAATTTGAGTACAATAAAAAAAAAAAAAAAAACATAAAACATTGCATTGCACACATACCTTCCACTCTTTCGCGAATAAAACTATTTTGAATTATTCATACCCGGACTGGCGAAGTTATTTTACATTGCTTGGATACATTTTAAAATGCCGGAAATGAAATGAAATTATCATTCGTCATTGAGCCTACCTTACGTTAAAGGATTCTTCAATAATTTCCTAAACTCTGTAGAGGTTTTCAGTAGTTTCGAGGACAATTCAGTAGTCAAACAATCAATGGTTCTGGATTTTAAGACATATCTCAAGAATTTCCGAGAATCACATCACATCGTAGTATGTTACAAATTTTTACATAAAATTTGACCGAGGAAGACTTCAAAAAACCTCCAAAAGTCCGTCTCAAATGAATATCACAAATCTATTTGCATTTTCATTTGCGATATTTAATCGGACTGTACTTTTAGAGCTATTTTAAAATAATACTCTGTCAAATTTTGTGTACAAATACCTGACGCGCCACTCGCGGGAAAATTAATCCCCCCTACCCAGCAAAAAAGAGAAAAATGTACAAAATGCCCAGTAGTGTTTCTCAGAAGGCATACAGTTTAAGTAAACTCTCTATGTGGTTTTTCCACCAGAGCAAAGTTAAAAGTTTTATTTTCTCCTCTTCTCTTGTTACCGTTTTATTTATTTGCACTAAAGCTTCGGATCACTTCATTTTCATGGCCATCTGTACACACATTAATCGGTGTCTGATTGTCGGGTACCTATACCTTTGTCAGCTTTAATTTGTTTCATTTAAAAATTTGAATAAATTGTTACGTTGCATTTTGCTGCAATAAAATCAACTTATGTTTGTTTTGACCGCTGTAAGAACTATTTCTCAAACATTCATAAAATTTATCGCGTCCGACTCAGTTGGAATAATCCTTAAAGGGAACACTTTGTATTATTTGAAAATTTCTCGAGCAGGATCTTCATTTCAGTCTTCCAGTAAATGACAAGAGGGATGCGGGCTTATTTGATCCCTGAGCCAGACACACGTAGTTGTGAACTACGTCAAACTGTTGTCAGCAGTTGAAAACGCCTTCAGTTTCGAGCGATACCTCACCACTCACACCAGAGATGAAATATTCGCATCATAAATCGACGTGCAGAATCCTCAGCTTTTCAAACATTTATGAAGTACATCGACTTGTGCTTACTACGAAAATCTGTATGAAAATTGGTCGCATTCTATTAAATCTTAATTCATGCAGGTTATTTTTAATCTTTAAAATATGTTTTAAAAAAACTGGACCATATTTTGTAATTCTAGTCATTGGTCATGCAAGGAACACTGGGAAAAAAAACACATTGGATCTAGAGTCCAGACTCTTAAAAACATCGACAAGAAAAATACTCTTGATTCAATCAGATTGAAGCTTAAATCAAGAACCCAGCCTCCTAATTTGAGCGGATTTCCTTTTGATTTAAGCTTAAATCTGATTGAATCAAGAGTATTTTTTCTTGTCAATGTTTTCAAGAGTCTGGACTCTAGATCTGATGTGTTTTTTTTTCCAGTGAAAATCCCTAGACCCGCGGAATAGACGATTTTCTATTCTTCCTCCACTCACTCATTCGGAGGGGGTGTACATTTGCAGCGTTTGTGGGTGACAATTCACCCCTGTCCGCGACAACGTCCCTGGCTGTATGAGAAATTACCGAGCTTTTCGTTCGAAGTGGTTTTTTCAGGCAGTGCAATCTGGTAATTGGCTATGTTCTCCTTATTTTTTTCTCCTACTAAAAATACACTCAGATTTCCTCATCGGCAGTGTAATACTTGGCAACGAGACGAAACAATCATTCATACGTCCAAGTTCTCAGCGTGAATTTCGCGGACTATTTGACAGCCGCGGCTGAAGGTCAAGTGCAAGAGCGGTGCGACAGCGCGGATCTGATCGGTTGCACTGCTAACCTGTTTATGTTTATACGCAATGTCAGACACCTCTGACTTTTTCCAAAGGTTATACCGGTCTTGCGCCGAGCCCCAACCGCTTAGTATTTTCCTCTTTTCTTGACTTGGAAATCCACATGCTATCCAGTTTCCAATCGACGCTCTCAGCCACCCATACTGCCGCGCGCTTTTCCACGCGATCACGCCGCTGAGACCATTCCCACGCCCTACCTTTATCACTATACCGCGCCGTTTTCCATTCCATTCCATTTTGTGTGTGTGTGTGTGTGTGTGGGTGGGAATACTTGTTCATTCGCAGTTTCAGGTGTGAGGATTTTCAAAAATAGCAAGCTTTTCCTGGACTCCTGTCTTTTTGGACCCCCAGGAGTCGATTTTCGTGTTTTTTGTTTGTTTTTGTGTGTTTCGCGTCCTCATTTCCACATTACACCCTGCGAGTTCAGTGCCGTTTTTATACGAATGAAATACTCCGATACTCGCTATAGAGCCATTATCGCCGGAAACTACACGTAAATCTGTCCGTTGATAGATAGCATTTTCCTTATTTACCAATGAACTTTGTTGTTATTTTGCTTTACTCTCCAACTCTCTGATTTATCACGCATCATTGTTACCTTGGATGATCTATCGGAGCTTTAATTGTCAAGTGTTCATCCGTGCAAAATGTTAAGGCACTTTTTGCTTTGTTTGATTTAATCTAAAAAAGAAATAGGAATTAAGTGAAAAAATAACAGTGTTCGTGCATCATTGTGATTCTTAATACTAAATATTTTTGATAATTAGTAAAACAAAGCGAGTGCATTCGTTTGATTCTGAAGACTGGATTACCTATCTGGATTACCCATACAAACAGTTTCAGGTAAGTCGAAGTTTTTCACGCAATGTCATAGTTTTAAGTAATTCATCAAGTCCTTACATCCTCGTAAAATACAAATAAAAAGAAAGAAACTGAGCTCGTCTTCGGAAAATCGGCATTTAATGTAACTAACTCGATCATAGTCAGGGATTAAATCCAGGTATGTACCATTGTACCTACATGTCGATGGCTGAAGTCGAAACATGCGTATTTTCGATTGTAATAGTGGAAATCTCTACTCATGTTTCATTTTTTGAAGAAAGAAACTAACCAACAATTTTTCTTAGAATTTTTGCGAATCTTTCGACTTACTCGTAAATATTTCTAGGAAACTTTAAAAAAAATGCAGGTAGCTTTCTTCTGAAAAAATAAAAAGTACTCAAAAATTTTGAAACGACGCAATGGGGACACATTTCTCGACCTCAGTTATCGATATGAAAAAAAATATGAATTTAAACTAGGAGCTCGATAAGGAGCTCAATGGATAAGGAGCTCTTAATCATCACTGTATGTTTGGAGGGTCTTTACATTTATTTTTTCAGAAGATAAAGTAGGAAGAGATGTAAAAAATTTCCCCCAGCGATCGGAAGAGAGGGGGGTTACAGAGCATAAACATGCTTAGAGTCGGGAACGGGAACCACTCGTCGTTCCGAAAAACTTCCACTCCTATTTTATTTTGTCAAAGGTAAACCAGACAGCTTTATTGCTTCAACTTCTTGAGGAGTTTTCTGTACTGAAAAATCAAGTGTCAAAGAATTTTTTGACGTCGCAAATCGGAGCTATCCAGCTTAATGTCAGTCATCGATATGCTGTCATATTTACTTCATTTTGTATTAAGGAACCACCATTTCTGACTCGTCCATAAAATCGCTTATTTACGTGGGGAAATTAATGACACACATGTCTTTCTCTAAAATATAGTATCTCTAAGCATGAGAGTAACACGTAACGTATAACGCCGGTGGCACGAAGCGCTTCAGCGGGTTCGATTGCGAAGCGGTCTGGGGGCGTAGTCTCCTGGTTTCCTCTAAAATGAGTGAAAATAGTAGTTCCTTATTACAAATTGAAGCCAAAATGTTATTGTAAAGGCTCACTAGTTTTGCCAGAAACCTTTTGTGACTTCTGCATTTGCATCTTTCATCATGGAAAAAGAAAATTAAAAACATAGATAAGAGAATTTTATTAATTTATGTCATTCTGTGCAATGAAATAATATAACAATTTGCGGAAAATAACAACGTTAGTAGAGAAAGCTCCTAGTAGCAAGCTTTTTTCCATGTTCTATTAACTCCACCATCTTCTACCTATTTTGCATGAAGCATCGATAAATACATAATCGTACGCTCATCCGTTTGCTCTCCTGCTCTTCCAGAAAAGATTTTTCCGACCTCTGTGAATGTGTCCTGCTAATACTAAATAAAAATATTCCGATCGCCATAATTCATTATTCGATCAAAGCCTTTGAAAATAATATTTATCTCCGAGGTCAATAACTCATAACATCGTGATACTGTTGCAAATAATCCGACCTGTTATTCGCTTTTATGCCAAGCTCTACTAGGCACGATCACGACCAAGATCCGGTCTATTGAGAGAGTTCTCGGGATTGGATCAAAGAAATATAAATGAATATAAATCAGCGTTCAAAAACAGGAATCATGTATCAGTTGGCAGGCATATCGGAAAGGATAAAAATGACTTGTAACGGACGGTATAGGCACGGGAGGGCAGGTGTATTTTTGGACCCTTATTCATACAGAGCAAACATTCGAATTTATAATATAAATATGTATGTACAACGTAATTCCTAAGTCCGCACTTGTAAGAGTTTACTCCCCAATCGAGAGAAGTTTTCTCAGAGTCTTGGTCCATGATTTTACGTCCCTTGGTCTTTGAATAACTGCCCTATTGACTTTGCTCAGCGTATCCTACACTTAAGACTTTCTTGGCATAGCCAAGGCGCCTTCATTTTTCATGCATGCAACACCAACGACCTGTAAGGAGGAATAGTTGAATGCGGGAGTGTTACAATTATTGAGGGGCTTGGAGGACAAGGCGTATAAGTGCAGTTTTTGCTATTTCAAGAAATACGAGTTTGAAGTTTCAAAATTACATGGAGCCTCATGGCAGAAAGGATGGTTAGACTCACTTCTTGATGCTTTAAAGTTGGATTTTATTTTTGTACTTATTTTTAACAGAATACACTTTCAAACTAGTTTAAGTTAGGGTCGTGAATATCTCAATTTTTACAAAAACTGCGCTCATGCGCCTTGTCCATCTATCCCCTTAATGTTTTGTACCGTTAGGGTGTAGCTTGTTTCGGTCATGTTAAAAGATCGAGACGCATTAGATAGTAATCGGTTCCAACCATAAAAACGATGAAGACAAAACATGAGTAAATTTGCCGCAGTAATCTACATCTGTATAGTAAAGATAGGAATATAGTACCGTGGCGTATCTCATCGGTCAGCTGAAACACTAGATGAAAATGTTGCGTCCCGCCCCGCTACGTTGCACATTGGATGGAGTCAGTAGGAGAGGTCGGACAAAATTTGGAAACTTTAAAAGCTTATGACTTCGTTTAAACAAAATATTGAGGTTCTGAAAGTGGTTCCAATGGTTTCCTCGTGAAATTCTCTGCAAAATGCACCCCTTCAATTTAAAGTGTGACGAAATTAACATCAAAATTTGCAGTTTTAGTCAAAAATTTCATGCTCAACCTCTCCAATTGACTCAATACACTGTGCGTCGAATCATGCCGTGTCTCTTTTAAGTTTGAGAATCAGAATGACCTTTTTTCAATAAATAATTAATATTTATCAGGTGTTTACTCTCATTTAATTAATGAGAGAACTGACAGGAATTCTGAGCGGACACGATACAACAATAATTCTCCTACTTAAAATTGCTGATGAGAATTACCTATTGCGCTGAACTCTTCAATGTTCTTTTAATAATCAAGTTACGAGGCCCAAAAAAAAAGGCGAAAATCATTTTTAAATCTTTTTCCTTCTTTTTTATCGCGTGCACCCTCAAATATTTCAGCACCAGATTAAAATATGACACTTGAATCAGTGAGAACGAAAACACACCAACTCGATAACTCGAAAATATTACATTTTCATTGGAGACAGTCAGTTTTTATAAAGGTCATCGAAGTTAGCGCATCTGTTCCATCTTGGACCTTTAAAATTCTTTGTTTAGTACTTGTCTTTTGGCACCAAAAACATTTTTCTTGGACTAAATTCTTCATCTACTCTGCAGTTTTGTGTATGTCTTGATTATTTTCATTTTTTCGAGTTGGTGTGTTTTCGTTCTCACTGATTCAATCAAGCGAATTGATATTTCGAATGAAACCATGGCACGTTTTTATGGAACAAAACTCAGCTTTTGAAAAAAAGCGTTCAAAATAAAGGAATCTCTAAAAGTGCACAACGCATTTTAGAAAATCCATACGATGAGAATATACCCATAAATAGAACGATACCTAGATCACTTTCCGCATCGAGGTTTTCCCGGTACACGGTGGACAGTAATGAGGGGAATTGCACAATGTTCATGCTCTTGATTGGCGACTGGTTTCTCCCTAAGGAGCCCCGGATATCTCGCTGAAAAATCTGAAAAGCAACGGAGCCAGAATCTCACCCTTGGAGTCCTCGCCTTGCTCATAAACAAATCAATACGTCGCTTGGCTGACATAAAGGCGTAACTACACATTGAGATGAGCCCGGAAAATCATTGAGTTTAATGGACGACAGGGTTCATCGTAGAGTGTAGTTACGCCCTTATGTCGCGAGGGCGACGAATTTGTCATCGACGCGAGCGATTTTTCAGGATCCCCCGATGCAGCTCAATTCTCGCTCATGGGGTTTAGCCCACGAGAAAACAGCTTTTGAATTACTGCAACGTGCATACTTTAATTTATGAATACATTCACAAGATTATGTCTTTCATATTTACGCGTTTAATAATTTTGCTGCGTGGTAGTTGCCAGACAGGATGTAGTTAGCTTATTTAATGCAATATTTTCCCGATCGATTTTATCCTCCTATCATCAATTTAATGTTTGCTGGGGTGTAAAATTTTATTTTTCCCCTCATCATCAGCATAACAATTTGGCTCTTCAGGACGCTAGCCGTCTGAATTGTTCACCCTACCTTTTCTTTAAATTTTGTCAAAATAAGAGGGACTTCGAAAAAGTTGATCAGCAAAAGTAATCGGACCCAATCCATACGAAGAGTCACAATGCAAAATTTCATGAAAAAATATTTCAGCTAAATTCCTAAGTATTTTTGAACAAACTAATGGCGCAAATATCCAAGAGAACATGGAAGTGAGGGTAAGTTTTAAACCCGTGCCAAAAAATAAATGTTCGAATTTCAAAATGTTAAATTAATATCCGTGTCATTTCATACAATATGGGCTTGGACAAAGTTATGACATTTTCGTAGCTATCTGAATGGTTATTTTGATGTTTTTCTATCCTAGCCGGAAACTTTTAATCATTAAAAAACGGTTTTATTCTAAGCAATTGTGTTATCATTTTGATTGCACGTGAATATTTTCTAAAAAAAATGACTTGGCAAGTTTGCTTATTTGATAAAATGCCAAGTCAATTTTCTTGAGTAGATTTCTTCTTGCGGTCAATATGACCACACAGATGCTTGATAGAAATCCGGTTTTTCGAAAGAACTTAAGTACACTTGGACTGAGAGGAGAGAGGGGATTTTCATTATCATCCTATTGAAAAAATTCAAATAAATTCTTCAAACATGTCCGATGTCCTTTAATTTTCAAACTTTGCCGCATATGCGCCCCATGAGTTGACGTTGTCAATTTCACCGCTCGTCGCTGTCCTCCTGGGTAGGGTTAATTCTGCCGGTGGTTTAATTTTAAATTACGCTGAAAATACAATTGATTTTCAGAATTGATTGAATGTGTTTATAGTCGTCGATGGGGCAAGGGACCTCACTCTACGGAGGCACAAAAATTATTTTCATCAG